CCTGACCCGGTTCCTCATGTTCATTGGCAGATAGACCCCAGCTCGTATTCTATTTTATATGCATCCTGGAAAGGTCTAGCCCTCCTTCCACACAGGCCAGGCGGCTCCATGGGCAGGGAGCTTGAGGTCAGGGAGGGCAGACTCTGAAATCCAATCTGGAGGCCTCTGGCTGCTGCCTTGGGTGAGACCCAGGGGCCAAGAGCCTGGTTTGGCCTCATTCAATCTGCACTGCTTCCTGGCCTCTCACAGTAATGGCACCAAAGCTCTTGATATAAACTTGCCTCGTAAATAGCTCAAACAGTCTTGAGGGGCTCTGCTGAGAGGACCCCTACATTGCTGCTCCCATTCCCACACTGCCTTCTGGGTGCAGAGATCGATAAAGTCGAGTTTATCATGACCATCAATTCTCCCTGATTAGACAGCCATAGTACTCGCCTCTCAGAAATGCCTTGTGTTTCCTTTTTTTGTTTGTTTTTTTGTTTTTGTTTTCTTGTGGAAAATGGCTTGACTTTGAACAAGAATGAAAGTAAAAAGGAAACTTTGCGGCTTACTTTTATAGAAGAAGGTGCCTCTTCTCAAAATGAGTAAGGGATTGGTCTCATGCAGTCAGGCTCTCTCCAGGAGTGTCACTAGGGAGGGACCAGGCACAGCTCTGTAGCTTCCCTGAAGCTCATGTCCCAGCCCTTCTCTGGAGAGGCACTGTGTGTGAGGAAGATGCCCAGAGCAGGCAGGAGGGCAGGGCCTGGGAGTGGAAGGTGTGCATGGCCAGACCTGGAGGACCAGGTGCTGGGAGAAACCATTTCCACAGGGTGACTCCTGTTTGTCGGCAGATAGACCAAGCTCATATTCTGCTTGATATGCATTCTGGAGAGGTCTAGCCCTCCTTCTAAAAGTGTGATGAACAGTTCCCAATAAGGCCAATGTACTGGGATAAGCTCAGTGTCTCTGGAGAGGCAGAGCACTCAGTGGGGATCAATGCTGGTTTGTAGACAGTACAAGTGGTGGGAGGGCTTGAGCAGCTCCCAGGAGAGAAGGAAAGGGAAAGATTTAAAGAGATCAGGACATTTGGCTTGGGGTGGGGGTTGGGGATCACTTAATTACAACAAACTGAGCACTGCTGAGCCTGAACCTGAGGGACTGACTAGAGCGGCAAATTCAGCAGGGGAGCGGTGTGGGGGCGACTTTCCTGCAGGAGGTTTATAAGAAGAAGAAACATACTGAGATCAGTAGCCTGCATGTGAAATGTAGGCCTTCTACAAATACAGAAATCTATTAGTTTTGTTCAATTCCAGAAACTTACTACCCTGTTTCCCCGAAAATAAGACAGTGTCTTATATTAATTTTTGCTCCCAAAGATGTGCTAGGTCTATTTTCAGGGGATGTCTTATTTTTCCATGAAGAAGAATACGGTACACATTTATTGTTAAATGAAAATAAAGGAAATTTATTACCTGTATACGGTACAATAGTACGGTAGTTGTCAACACAAACCAGACAAACTGTGAATCCTACAGTATTAAGAATTTACTCATTTATTCAATGACAATCATGTCATCATCTTCTGGAACATCATCATAACAATCCAATTCCTGGATTTCCTGGTGAATTTCTTGTGACTCCATTTCTTTCAGAATCAGTGGACCAAATCTCTCATGTTTAGCCTAGGGGAGCCTTATTTTCGGGGGGATGCCTTATATTTCACTCAGAAGGAAACCTGTAAGTAGGTCTTATTTTCGGAGGATGTCTTATTTTCGGGGAAACATGGTAGGTGCCAGTCCCTGGTTTAAGTTTAGAAGGTAACACAGTATCAAAGTCAAGTCCTTGCTCTCAGGGAGCATCCTCACAGTAGAGGGAGACAGATGATACACAGGGAAGTGATGTACTAGATGAGGTGTCTGTTATGTTTAAAGGTTTGTCATATGAAAACCTGATGTCTGAAAGAAACTTTCCTATGAAAATAGTGATCGGCAGACTTTAACTTGTAAAATGGAGACAACATTTCCATTCTGCTTGGAGAAAGGCCATGAGGAGGCCTCTCAAAAGCGCTGGGTCTCAAACCATCAGGACCTGCAGGGCCATTGCTGGGAGAATGTCACTGTGGTCTCCTGGGGAGCAGGACACGGAGTAGTTATGTTGAGAATTAAGAAGGGAAGAAAGAAGAAAGCAGGGGAAGGCAGTTACCCTCTAACTCTGGAAAACACCTGGAAACACCTGCCGCTCTGGCCCTTGAGGCCTCAGAACTCAGGGGAAACCTCTGCGGAGGGGCAAACAGATGGAGGGTCACATTCCTCATACTGGTGGAGTCCATGGGGAGGACAGTGAGCTAGTCCCAATATACTGGTTTTATTGGGAGCTGTTCATCACATATTTAGAGAAGAAAAATAAAGGTCACGTGCGAGTAGTTTGACCGTACATGGCTATTTTTTAAATGCAATTTGCAAGTGGGTTGTGTGTGAATGCTTAGTTCAGTTTCCACACCTACGGAAAGGCCAGCTGCTGGCCTTGACAGTCATAAATAAGCACAGGCAAGAAGAGTTGCTTGACTGTTAACTACAAATCTTTTAATTGCTATCACAGAAATCATCTTCACAACAGTGAAAGATCTTAAAAAGGGTGTGATGAGCTTCAGGAGTCACTCCAGTCTCCCTCCTTCCCGAGTCCCTCCCTGCACCTCCCCTCTCCTTTTCCCTTCACCACAGTTAAAGGAGCCGCTTTGCCTCCCTTGCCTGGGCTCCAGTCACAGCACGTTCCCTCTCCCCACTGGGCCTTTGTAGGGCTCACCTTAAGTGACATTTAAGTTTCTGATCAAGTCTCTCCTCCTCTCAGAGCCCCTCCCTGACCACTTCTCCTAGAACAGTGGCCTGGGTGTCATGCTGACCTGTTACTTTCCATCTCCGCACTTATACAAATCTTGTCATTTGTTTGTCTCTGTGTTTACCTGTTTCCCTGGACAAAGTGTAAGCTCCACAGTTACAAGTACTCTATCCACACCCCCCTGCATCCTCAGGGCAGAACTTCATTGTAGAAGAAGTTCAGTACATAGTGATCCCATCTTATATAATACAGAGGTAATATGCAAACTGACCATCACACAAGATGAACAAGATGGCCACCCCTACGTGGTCACAAAATGGCTTCCCAAGATGTCTGGCAAGAAAGGGAAGTGGTGGACAATCTGGCCAGCAGGGGAGGGCAGTTGGGGGCAACCAGGCAGGCAGGGGAGGGCAGCTTGGGGTGACTGGGCCGGTAGGGGAGCAGTTAGGTGTTGATCAGGCTGGCAGAGGAGTGGTTAGAGGGTGATCAGGCTGGAGGCAGAAGCGGTTAGGGGCAATCAGGTAGGTAGGGATGTCTGACTGCCAGTTTAGGCTCAATCTCAAGTGGCAATTGGACATCTTCCAAGGAGTTCCAGATTGGAGAGAGTTCAGGCTAGGCTGAGGGGCACCTTCCTCCTCCAATGCACAAATTTTGTGCACCAGGCCTCTAGTTAAATATAACAATGAATGAATTTGACACCAATCTGTAAACCTGAGGGTTTTATTAAAATTGTAAGTATGAAGCAGATTTGGGAAAAGACTCCACTCTTTCCCTTCCCCCACCCCTTTTTGGTAAGAGAGAAGGAGAGCTTGAAATAAAATGGAGAAGTTTCTGTGAATTTTTGGTAACCATAGAGACGATGATTTTAGTTTATTAATCTCCTTCTCTTAAGCAGGCGGGGGCCCCACAGTGATTTCTCCGAATTGCTCCATGCTGGTTATCCCACAGACTTCCTCATTAAGGAAGGCAGGCCCATTCTTATCCTGCAGCACTTTAATTACTGAGGAGCAGGAGGCCTGTGCTATTATGCTCATTAGTGCATGCTCTAACCTGGCTGTGCCTCCACATTGGAGCAGTGCAACGTGGTCACCAGTCCTGACCACGGAGCCCTCAGTGGTTGGTGATGGGAGTGGGAAGCCTCCTCTTTGAGCCCAGGGCCTGGGGCAGGGCTAGCAATCAACCCCCGAAGATGGGATCTCAGGGCCTCTGGAATGGCAGCATTTAGATTCATCCAGAGAAGGGCACCAGCGGTGGTTCTCTGCCTACTAATGCAATGCTCACAGGGAAGGAACTGGACATGTCTGTCAACCATGACACTTCTTATTGTTTGGCCTCTTTATGGCGTCTGATTTCAGGATTGTGTGTTCCTCTTCCCACGGGGAATAGGATGCAGACTTTCATCATTTGCCTCACGTCCTTTGGGTAAGAGATCTCCAAATGGCTTCAGGGTTTCAGTGAAGCGAGGGGGAAATGGGCAGTTAAAGGCAGTCTCTCCCACAATTATTTCTTCTTCAAGAAAAAACCCTGGTGTAGATATCAGAAGACTAGCAGAGCTATTCTCTCTGTGCAGCTGACTCCTGGCGGGGACTCAGCCTCTCTGGGCCGTAGTGTCCTCATCTGTGAAATGAGACTGGACTTGTCCTTCCATCTCTCCTTCATTCATGTAGACACTCTGACTCTGACTTCAACCTGGTTCTGAAGGCCAGCCCCCTGTGATGAAGGAAGGGCAGGGAGGCCCAGGCAGTATGCCTGCTGGAAGAGCCAGGGTGGATTCCTGCAGAAGTCCCTGGTGGGACACATGGTTCCCTCCTGAGGCAGAGCATCTAAGGTCCAGTCTCACCTAGGCACTGGCTATCATCTTGGAAAAACAGAGACTTTCCTTTGGTTGATTCATTCCTACAGTTAACACTCAGTGACCACTTACTGGGTCCAGGTTTTGCACTAAGGACACAGCTATTCAGCTGCGATAGTGATTGACAAATTCAGATCCTGTTGTGGGGCAAACAGTTTTAATGGTTGTGAGCTGGTCTGCTGCACACGTGGGGGTTGGCTATCAGAGAAGAGGCCTGGGAAGCATCAGGACTCCTGAGCCCTCCAGGAAAACTGGAGCCAAGACATAGGGTGGACCAGCACCCGGGGTGCCCCCGAGGATTCCCTGAAAAATGTAAGGTTCTTCTCCTTTCCAGGTGCCGCAACCTCTCATTCCCTGCCAGCCTGCCGGAGGTGAGCATCGTGTTCATCTTTGTCAATGAAGCCCTCTCGGTGCTTCTACGCTCCATCCACTCAGCCATTGAACGCACACCTTCACATCTGCTCAAGGAGATCATCCTGGTGGATGACAACAGCAGTAACGGTGAGTGTTCAAGCTCCTCGCTCTGCAGATGACCCTTGAGCAGAGGGGTCAGCCTCTACTTGGGGTTCTCATTTTCTCAAGGCTCTCTGTAGCTGCGCCCGCTCTGGGATGTTGTCTCAGTGATGAGAGACTCATGATCGTGAGTGCTCTCTGGAAGGTGCACTCCAGAGGTGTGCTCACTTTGCATCCCACTGAGGCCTGGTCCCCAAGCTCTGTCTTACCAACCTTCCTCTCTTCTCTCCAACATTCTAGTGTGATGAGATAACTAGCCCTGACCTCTGCCCTGACCAGTAGACATGGAATTGGAGCTGTGTACACAGAGTAATTAAAGTCGTTGACTGGGAGGATAGAGTTGGCAAAGAGAAGTGAGAAGAACAGCAAATAGAAGTTGAGAGAATGCTGAATGCAAGACACGTAGGAGTAAGGAGGAAGAGGGCCGACTGGTGAGAGACAGGGAAGGCATAGCAGGAGAAACTGGAGGGCAGAGAATTTCAGGAATTAGAGTCATCTGTTTGAATGAACCCACAGACAGGTGGAAGGACACAAAGTCTGGGAAGAAACCAGTAGGTTTGGACGGTTCAGAGCATGCAAACCTCAGCAAGAAGGTTTTAAGAGTTGGGATGCAGCTGTAGACGCTAGGTGGAGGAGAAAAGCAGGCATGGAGGTGGACTTTTCTGTCATGGATTTTAACTGTGAAAGAGAATCAGGAGCTAAGACAGGAATTAAAGCAAAGTTTTATACACACACACACACACACACACACACACACACAAATCTAATTAAAAAACAATTTAAAAAAATTAACCACAATCAATAGCAAAAAATATATTTATATCATGACCCAGGATGGCATGCCTACTCACACCCAATTGTATCTAGACACTATTGAAACAAAACTTGTAAGAAACAATAGTTACCCTTATAATGGGTGAAGCATGCTATTTTCTATTATAGTCTGGTCTGTGTTACCTGGGTGTATTGTATTGTATTGTATTGTATTGTATTGTATTGTATTGTATTGTATTGTATTGTATTTATTGTGTATATTTCCCTTGCTTGAAAGTCAACTTGTTCTCAAGACCCTAACTGCAGATGAGAATTGCTTGGAGAACTTTTAAGAAGTCCAGGTGGCCATCCCTTAGCCCTGGTGATTTAATGGGTCTGAGGAGCCGGTGCCTGTGGCTTTGGCTCGGGATTATGACACCTGAATTCCTTGAGGCCAAGAGGTGGAGCAGGACCTGTGAGGAGGGAGGAGAGGATGGGATCCTGGGCACAGGAACCAGGGTTGCCTCTGGGAAGGAAGGACCCATTTTTCTGCCCTTCGGGAGGATCAGATAGGTGAATAGGGAGATAGCTGGAGGCAATAAGGAGTGTGGCAATGGGTGCTGAGGCAGAGCAATAGCACCCTCTGGTTTTCAGGACCCTGCATGGGTGGAGGGCATGGTGGGAAGGGGTCTGGTGCCAATCTAGAGAGCCCCTTGTGGAATAGGACAGAAAGGACCTATTACCTGAGAGCAGCCTGAGCTAAGTTCTTAAGAGGGGAGGAGGGACACTTGAGACTGGCTCTTGGAGGAAGTGGGCCGTCTCCGGCCTTACTTAGCAGAGGACTGAAGGATCCTTTGAACTGGCCCTGCCTGACTTGGCGAGGGCGGCTGTGGCCATGTCCTGGGCAGGCGCCATTGAGCCTGCTTCTATTGGCACCGTCTCACTCAACACATGACTGCCATTTACCTCACATCAGGCCTCTGTGGTCAGTTCACAAGCATTTACAGAGTGCCCGGCTGGGCCAAGGGCCTGAGGGAGTGATGGACCAGATATAGCCCCTGACATCAGGGAGTCATGCAAATAAATGTAAAATAAGGATAAACATAACAGGATTCGCTTTCCACTTCCTCCTGGTCATTAGTCTTTTTCTTTTCTTTTCTTTTCTTTTCTTTTCTTTTTTTTTCTTCATCTGTATTGATTTCAGAAAGAGAAAGGGATAAGGAGAGAGAGAGACAGACATCAATGATGAAAGAGAATTATTGTTCAGCTGTCACCTGCACAACTGGGGATTGAGCCTGCAACAGAGGCATATGCCTCAACTGGGCGGGAATCGAACCAAGGTTCATAGGTCAATACTCAACCACTGAGCCACACCAGTCGGGCTGTTTTTTGTTTTATGTGCCATGTGGGGACATCAGGCCCTGCCCTGCCCTGTCCATACCATAGTCACTGAGATTAAATTGAGGGGAATGGGAGTGAAAGTGCCATATGAGCCGCGTGGTTCTAAGAGTGAGTTAAGTGACAATAATAAAAATAGCAACATTAACAACAATAAGAGCTGGCATGGAGCCTCTGCTTAGAGGCAGCCCCTGCCTTTCTCTCTTTTCTGGTGGGAAGATCAGAGAATTTGTCATTAGGCCAGCTTTTCAGTTTCAGCGCTTTCTAGCTTCTTCCTAGCTGTGAGTTTTTAACCTCTGTGAACCCCATTTCCCTTATCTATAAAATTGGGATGTATAATTCCTACCTCGGGGATTGTTCGGAAGCTTGAATGAGATAATGCAGGATGGAAGGGACATTGGTGCTTAAAACTGTAAGTGAAGCAGGAGTACAGAGCTTTCAGAATGAATCCCTTGCTAAGCCTTCCTTCCCAGGCGTTTGTCACAAGTTCTGTGTGTTCTGGTGCCTTGTAACCTCTTCTGCAGGCCCCTGGCTTTGGGGTTAGGCTGTGTTTCCATAAACACAGGGAAGGGGCAATGGATGACTGCTTTCTTCATTCAGGCTCTTTGGACCTTTAGCTCTCTCTCAGAAACCCAGGGCTGAAGGCTCTGAAGATGGTCCTTGTGTGGGAGTCTGAGTTCCTGTTCTCTTGCTTCTTAAGCAATTTCCTAAATGAGCGCCACTCTTTCAGGGGCTGGCTCCTGTATAAGGTGCTGACAGTATGCTAAAGTGGTCTCAGACTTTAGTGTTTGAGCTTGACTGAAAATATGGAGATTCAGATCAGCCACTTTGCTGCCCCAGGACATTTGCACTTGCTGCTCTCACTACCAGGAATGATCTTGCCCCTTGATACCTGCACATCTTGTTCCTTTGCCTCGTCAGGCCTTTGTTCACATGCCACCTTGCCACCCTGTTTAAGATGGGAGCCCTTACTTCTGTTACTCCTCACCCTTCCTTGCTTGTTTTCCTTTAGAGCAACCAATCACACCTGACATACTGTACTCACTTAATTACTTCCCTTATTGACTTGGACATCTTCTCTTCACTAGTATGTAAGTTCCATGAAGACAGGGAGATTTGTTTTGTTTGTTGCTGTATCTCTAGCACCTAGAATAATACCTGGTACTTGTAGGTGTTCAATAAATATTGATTCAATGGAAAGAATGAATGAGTCTTGATTCTGTAGGCCTGGGGCAATCGCTAAGTATCTGCATTTTAATATGCTTCCCAGAGCTTTCTGATGCAGTGGGACAGCCTCATTGCTGTCCATCTGTCCTGCAGCTGGAGCCTGGGACAGCAGGCACCCAAGCTTCCCCAGGGCTAGCCTCAAGAAGTGGGCAAGGTGGATGGAGTATTTCTTCCTGCAGTGGGGTCCTGGGACTCTCTGCTCATCCCAGGGAGATGGTGTGAATGGCAGGTAGAACGCAAAGCAGGAGGGGGAGCTTCTCTTGCTCTTACCCCCACCAGGGAAGTCCTCTGCACAGAGTCAGGTGGCCAACCCTGGGCCTCTGCCTTTGAAGGCATTCGTCACAGTGGGGGCCTTGCAGGTCCTCCCTGCAACTTTGAGGCAGTGCTTCCCCTCCCTGGCTCCTCTTCCTTGTCTCAAGGAAATGGTGGGAACCCGCTCGAGCCTCCTGGTTTTAATTACTGTGTTTTGCAGTGACTCCCAGTGGGCCAATGACTTCAGCTGGGGCTGTATGATTCAACCTTCATAGACCTCCAGAGGGAGGAAGCACCAGGATTTTCAGCTGATAGAGTCATCTCTGCTTTTGAATCTGGGCACTCATTTACTTGTTCATTCATTTATTCATGTGTTCAATTCCTCAACAGGTCTTTGCTGGCCATATGATTTTTGCCAAGTATGTTGGCACATGGCTAAGCCACCCCCCCTTCCCTTGTGAACTCACTTATGTGACACAGGTGTTCCAGTACATGGCTCAGAGCAGGTGCTCAGTGAAATGAGTCCTGGCAGGCTCCTTCATCAACTGACCAGAGACACCACTTTCCCCAATCTAGCCACTCCCACTTCCAAATTTTTTTTTCCTTTGTACTCAGTTTCTCTGTTTCCTCTTTAAACTCATATTCTTATTTGATAAACTTAAAACTCATACATTCTTCTTTCATGCTCCTTTGAGGGCTGGTCAAAATCTGAATTTTGTAACTAAAAGTACATCAAAGCAATGGCATTATTAAATACTCTTTTAAGAATCCCATCCCCTGGAGGTTTTGATCTGCTCCCGGTTGGCAGTGACTTGCCCAACCTAAACCAGCTTGATGGCTAAACCCCTCACACACCTGAGGCTGGGGTTGAGTGATTCTCTCCTGGCCTATCGATATCCTTTCCTGGGGATGACTGCCCACCACCACCCTTCTCCCCCCCAACACACACACACACACACACACACACACACACACACACACACACACACACTCCTACTCCCTTTGCCCAGCTCCAACTTCAGTCTCCACTGAGGTGCCACTGCTTCCTGCAAACCTTCCAGCACTACTCCCCCACCGGCTGAGTCAGGAAGTGCACACATATGTCCAAGCTTCCTCCCTCACACTCTTTGAGCTGTTTATTTACTCACTAAATTATGGGGAGCTGTTTGATACAGACTAGCCAAGCTAACCAGTGTGAGAGGGACACAGTGCTGAGCATCTCAGTGTCCCTCCAACTAGCCCAGTGCCCAGCACAGAATAGTCACTAAATAAAATTTGTTGACAAGGGAAGTAGACATGATTATCACCTGCATATCATAGATGAAGAAGCTAAGTCTCAGAGAGGTAAAAACAAACAA